AGAGAACTCTACATAAAAGTTCATCATCATTGGCATCATAGTTTTCTTCATTCTAGAAACTACCACTTAATTGGGCCCTTTGTACATCCAAGACATTGTACAAGCAGTTGATAGTCATGATCTTGTTTAATCCTCACTGCTACTTTATGAGGTGGGTACAATCAGCTCAGAGAGGTCACTTGCCTAGCAAGATCTATACAACTGGGATGTGAACCTGCGTCCAGCTGACTCCAAAGTCCATCATTGTATACTAAAGTTTATCCATCAGGTGTTGTAAAAAGGGAATTTCTTAATCAATTCAAGTTTGTTTAGAATGCTATAACCAAGATATTGTTGCCCAAATCACCAACAACGTGTAGTATCTAAAGAGCATCTGATTCATCATCACTTTAGAGATGAGGCTACTAAGGCTTGATGAGGTTAAAGACTTGTCCCAGGCCACACTGATGTGTCTGTGATGACAGAATCAAGAATCCAACTTACATCTCCTGCTTCCCAACCCAGTGGCTTTTGTGCTGTGTTTCTCCTTTGCATGGTTGAAGGGGATCCTCAGCGAAGTCTGAGTGTGGCACAGTTTAGAGACAGGTGTGTGTTTGTGGAAGAGCAGCCCAGGTGAGCCCTCACTCATCATCCTGCCATGAAAAAACAGACTTTTGTTCTAGAGCCACTCACCTGGGAGGCGGGAACGGCCATGTGGAATGACAACTTTAGCACAGGGGGTGCCTGGCTAGCCCTGGCCGGGTCTTGAGGGGGGGATCAGATCAAGGCTGTTTTAAGAGGTATGTTTCCTGATTCTGTCATAACACATTGCCACAAATTTAGCTGCATAAAACAACACAAATTTATTATCTCACAATTCTGTAAATCAGAAGTCTGGGGGAGAGGAGCTCAACTGGCTTCTCTGCTTAGGGTCTCCCAAGAGTGAAATCAAGGTATCGGTCAGCCCAGGCTCTTATCTGGAGCCTCTGGGATAGAATCTGCTTCCAGGATCGTTCAGGTTGCTGGCACAATTCAATTCACGCAGTTGTAGAACTGAGGTCTCCATTTCTTTACTGGCTGTTGGTCGAAAGTCATTCTCAGCTCCTAGAAGCTTCCTGCATTCCCTGGCTCCTGGCCCTTTTCATCTTCAAAGCTAGCAATGCCTGGTCAAGTCCTTCTATACTTTGTATCTCTGTCTGAACATCCCTTCTGCTGCATCTCTCGCTTCCAAATGGAGAAAGTTCTGTACTTTTAAAGGGCTCAAGTGGTCAACTTGTGCCCATCTGCATAATCCAGGATACTCTTCTATTATAAGGTCTGTAACCTAACTTACATCATTAGAGTCCCTTTTGCCACGTAACATATTCACAGGTTCCAGGGATTAGGGTGTGGACATCTCTGGGGGGCAATTCTGCCAACCAGAAAAAGACACCAACTGTTGACCCTGTGTGTGTGTGTGTGTGTGTGTGTGTGTTTCTGTCATTGTCTGTGCATGCACACAGCATGCACAGGCACGTGTGATGGAACCTGGACAGACCGTGCTTTTTCTTCCTTCTTCTGCTCAGGCTTCCCAGTGAAGGCCAGCCTGCACCCTCCAAGCCCCGTGCCCAGCCAGTGGCTTGGGGTTTTATTTTTAAGATTTTTTAAAAATGTCTTTCTTCCACCATAGTGTTTAAAAATGCCCAGCTCCTCTGCTTTTCATCACTTTCACGTTAGTCTTGTGTGGTCTTCAAGAATGTATTAATAACATTTGCTATCTGACTGGCAGCTTCTCCAAAGCATTTCAGACATGTCATCTTTTATGAGCCTTCTAACCACGCGGTGGGGTCAGAAAGAGAATGGTGATGTTGATGATTATCATTACTATTACCCCATTGTTGTAACCCTGGAAAATACGGCTCAGAAAGCTGAGTGACTTGTGGAAGATCATGCAGCTGAGAAGCCACAGAGCCAGGTTTTAGATACCTGATTACAAATCTCAGCTTCCTTTGCCACACCAACCAGCCTTCCTTTCTCACTCCTTTCTCACTTCCTTTGCCCTGCCTCATTTTTCAATTAATTAATCAATCATTTCCATTACCTTGTTCTGTTTTCTCTTCACCATCTCCATATTTCATCTAAATTGTGGTGCCACAAGCTGGATGCTGAAAGCTGCTATTTCATTCCCATAGGGTATCTATGCCTGACTTTTTACAGCTTTATTTGTTTTTATCCACGCTGAGCACTGTACTCAGCTGGATTTAATTTATAGTCATTGCACACAGAGCCCAGATTCTGTGAGAATGTGAACTTTGCAAAATGTAATCCGATTAGTGCTGCAGACTGGAGATGTGTAGGAGGTAAAAGCTCTATTATAAAAAACCTTTGGGCTAATGTCCTCTTTCTTGGATGAGTTTTAAGGCAATCAGACAAAATAAAGCCATGAGCCATGGGAAGACCACCAGCTTAGCTTAGGAAGTCTAACTTATGAGTCCATTTAAGGACTAAATCATTGAACTTAGATAAGCAATAGTTGCTGGTGAAGCACAACTAACTTGGAGTTGAAAAGCAAAAAAGACAGAAATGTTAGAAGGCAACCTAGTTGCTCTAATTCTTATTTTTGAAAAAAAGGGAAAAAAAAGTTGTAAGAATAGCCAGAACTTACTGTACACCAGACACTGTTCTGAACACTTTATGTGTATATTAATCAGTTCATCTTCAGCCCTGTGAATTGGTTATCATTATCATGCCCATTTTACAGATAGGGAAATTGAGGCACAGCAAAGTTAAATAACTTGCCCGAGGTCTCACTGCTAATATTAGCAGGGCCAGGATTTTAATCTAGGTACTCCAGCCCCGGACTTTATGTTCTCAACCACTGTGTCATGCTGCTTCTATGAAGCCCATCATCTCACTATATTTTTAAGTATTTTTGAAGAGATGGTGAGGGGAGGAGGACCAGGGGGAGAAAGGATAAAGGAGATGGGAACATTTTCCCCTTCTTCAGGCTTTGGACCCTTCTAATCTACTATTCTTTTCTGGCTTCATGACCTTGGGTAGAATCTTTACTTCTCTATGTTGGGGTGGGGGCTGAGTATGGGAGTGGGTTTGGGAGTATCCTCTATGAGGGGAGGACCCTAGAGAAGCTGTGAGATTCTTTCCAGTTTGAACATTAAGGCATTCTGAAGAAAGACAGCCAGTACCAGGCAGAGTTGGGGTTGTGGTGATTTATACCCTTGGCTTGCTCATTATGGAGACTGAGTCCCATGATCTGCAGTTTGCAAGTGGGAGGGCTAGGAAAGCTGATAGTGTAAGTCCTAGATTGAGTCTGAAGGCCCAAGAACCAGGAACAGCAATGTTGAAGGGCAGAAGATGGATGTCCCAGCTCAAGCAGAGAGCAAATATGCCCTTCCTCTGCCTTTTGGTTCTATTCAAGCCCACAGTGGACTGAATGGTGCCCACCCACACTGGGGAGGCCATCTTTACTCAGTCCACTGACTCAAATGCTAATCTCTTCTGGAAACACCCTCACAGACACACCCCAAAATAATGTTTTGCCAGCTAACTGGGCATCCCTTAGCCCAATCAAGTTGACATAAAATTAGCTATCATGTTACTAAAAAGGATAAATTGCTATGTAAATAGTTTTTTAAATTGGAAAAAAAAAAGACCAAATTTCATGGTCCGTTCTGCAGCCCTTAAATGTAATCCTCATTATCAACTACTTTATATAGTGATCTCTAAAATCAAGAGTACAAAATCTGCATTTTGGTCCTGGCTTTATTCACTGGCTGGGTAATCTGGACTGGATAATTATCCACTATGGGCTCTTTCATGATGTGTAAAATGTGAATGGTACCTGTTCAGTCTAACTCACAGAGATGCTATTTGATATATGTCCTTGGGAAAAACTTTTTCAGTGCTATAGATACTTGAGGTAGCATGATCATTTGAAGTCTGGTGTGGTTTTTGATCCTTCTAGTGGTTTTCTATGAACAGTGATTGAGAATTGGTCACTTGAAAGCCAGATGTTTGCTTCAGAGAAGTCAGTGGGACTGAGGGACCAGGGAGGTAGTTAGTTAAGAAACCGTGGCTTGAAAACCACTTTCAGGCACTGTTGTTGTTTTCCTTGACTTGGCATCATTGTGTGCACTGGCCAGAGTGACACCTGTATGCCATGGCACCATGAGAACCATGGAGTCATCTTGAAAAGTGAAGAGCCTGCTGTCTGCTGTGAGGCTCGTCAGGGAAGGTGTGAGAGGCAGGAAGCAAACCCTAGCATCGAGCTCTCTGTACACAGTTAACGCACTGGGATGTGCTGTCAGCTCAGGCCCCCTTGCCAACGTTAACTACAGTTAGAGCTCTTTTCGGACCTCAGAGGTTTTCCCAGCACACAATGAGTTTCTAGAACTTAGCCAGAAAAGAAAAATAAGCTCTTTGGGTGTACAGTCGAGCTAGGCATCTATAATTAACAAATAATGTACTGCATCTTATTGCATGGCTAGAAGAGAGGAGATCGAATGTTCTCATCTCAAAGAGATGATTAAGTTTTGTGATGATGAATATGCTAATTACCCTGATTTGATCATCACACATTGTATACATGTATTGATATTCAACTTTGTGCCCCACGAATATGTACAATCAATACATTTCAATTAAAAAAATCATATTAATACACACACAGAAAGAACCTGCATAATGTAAGAAGTTAAGGTCTCTGCTGCTTTGCTTAAAGGACTGTCAGCTTCCTCTTCAGAGCCTTCCAGCCTTATGACTGTTTGGTCACTTATTGGTATGTGGGTGGACATATCTCTCATGGCCGCTGTTTCATAGATGACAGTAGTGAGGCCACTTGGTGAAACTGAAACAACACTGGGGTTCCAGCTCTCTTTTTTCCATCTGTGAAATGGGGCTCCATGCGTGCAATGAGCATGCTTGGCATAGGGATGCCATGATTGTGACTCTGTGCAGACTTCCCTCCTGTGTTTCGAGTGATGCTGATGTACTGTACCCTCTGGTCTTGCTTCCTTGTACCACAGGATCGATAAACAGATAAGCAGCTTTCGGAGATGGTTACCCAAGAAGCCCATGAGGCTGGACAAGGAGACATTGCCAGACCTGGAGGAGAATGACTGCTACACTGCCCCTTTCAGCCAGCAAAGGATCCATCAGTGAGTGTTTTCTGTTAATGCCCTGTCTTACTGAGGATGTGCAGCATGGTGGGGCCTTACCCTGCACGCCTTTGAGTCTTGGTGCATGGGAGGAACAGCATAGTGCCCTTCTGTCCTAAAGTCCTGTGAGTGTTCTTATCCCTTTCACATTAGCCAGGGGAAGCTAACTCCTGTAATAACCAGTCCCCTCATCTCACTGGTTCAGAACGCTGCAGTGCTCATTCATTTGTGTGTTGGGCAAGTGATCTTCTCAGGTCATTCATAGACCCAGGCTCCTTCTGTTTTGTGGCTCTGCCAACTCCCTGTGCACGGAGTCCCCTGCTGGCTGGTCTGCATCTATCCAGCAGGCAGTGGAAGTCGTCTATACTTTTTCCCTTTGAAAAGAGGATTTTAGGTTTTTTGGTTTTTGACCTCAGTTTACTTCTCAGTTCCTCTTTCTTCAGCAATTCACCAAGTTGCCGCAAGAAACACAAAAGCACCTGGCAATGCACTTGCTGACTCATTTGTCAGACTGTCCTGGAACAACAATTTGTCACTTTTGATATGTGGGGAGAAAAAACAAGTTGGCTAAGTAACTGAGCCTATGAGGAATTGCAAAAGTGATGGCCAATTTACTCTGAAGCTTCTGAGGTGACAAGAAATGATGGCTGGAAAGCAGGGTAGGTGGTAGGAGAGAAAAGCAGCCCAAGGGCTGTCAGTGAGGGAAAAACAGCCTCTCAGAGGGGGCATAGGTCAGATTCGCCCCACCATACTCTCAACCAGACTTTAGGAATGCCTGGTCCTCCCTGCTCCAGCCGTAGTGACAGTGTCAGTAAAAATGACTTACCTGAGGGGAGGAAATGGGTGACAGATTTTTTAAAAATGAGGTTGCTGATTTTGAGAAAAAAAAAAACGACAGTGGTCATGGAGTTGCAGGGAGTGCAAGGTGTGGGCATGTTTCAGCGACAAAAAATCAGTTAAAGTCTGGACTTCTAGGGGGCAAAAGAGAGAAGAAAAATCAAAGAATAGATGTTCTGCATCAGAATGTATAATGCTCAGTAAGATCTGTCTAATGCAAGGGAAGCTCCTGAAACAGCCAAACCTTGGATACCCTCGAGTCAGATTGATGCCAAGTCAGACACATTACATGAACATTTGAAAGGTCAATGGAAAAAGCATGAAATTCACAGTCCAGCCTGGAAATCCTAGGTAAATCCTCCACAGAAAATAGGAACCGAGAAAGACTTCATATTAATTCAGAGATCAGGATCTATGGGTATTTTCTTAAGACAAAAAGACATAAAAAACTGACCTGGTCCACTCTTAATTTAAACACTCACCATGTCTATGTTGTTCATCTCAAAAGGTTTTTTAGACAAGTGGTTGTTTTTTAAATTCTGGGCTGAAGTCTGGTTTACATGAAGATATTCCTTTTGTTTTTCACCTACTTGAGAGAGTGCCTAGCACAGAGCAGAAGAGTCTCAAATATTTTGGATGACAGATGGATGGACACAGGGATAGGTGGGTGGATGGATGGATAGATGGATGGATTGATAGATATACAGGTGAATGGGTAGATGGATGCATAAATGGAGGAATTGATGAAGTATATGGTGTGCACTCTTGGGTTCTGTTTTATTTCAAAGGGGTGTAACAGATACAGTTACATACAGTTACAGTGGCTTCCCACCACTCCTCTTCATGCTAGTTATATTCTTTGCTGTTCTTGTTTTAGAACAACGCTTCTCAGCATGGTTCTCAAAGTCAAGCACCTGGGCAGCCATCAGGAGTTCTAGGATCTAGAACTAAGAAACGTATTTTTACAAATATTTAAAAATATATAATAAGGGAAGGATGATAGCATTTGGGATGGAGATATTCAGCCATCTCTCTCACATATTTGAGAAGCCTTTTTGATGTGTTTAGGTATTGATTTTCTGAGTAATTGATTCGTTCGATAGTCACTAATTCAGTGTTCACTTCTTACCAGGCACTGTCTGGTATAGAGGATATAAAGATAAATAATTCATAGTCTTGACCCCAGCCTAGTGAAGACACAGACCAGGTTAAATAATGGTAAGCAGTATGACGGATGTGACCTAAAAGAACAGGTGCTCCATTCTTCAGGTATAGTAGGAGGTTGATAAGGGATGAGGGTTGATCACAAAGAAGAAAATGCTTCATATGGGTCTAGAAGGATAAGACTTGCCCAGGTAGGTAAAGGGAGAAAAGCATCCCAAGAAGAGAAAACAATGTATGTATGAAAGAACAAAGGCATGAAACGAGATGTAGTATTTGAAGATCCACAAGTAGTTTTCAGTGAATAGGAATATAGGCTATGAGGAGGACCTAGCTGTCATTTGAAAAAAGAGTGATCAGTGGAAGATGAGATTCCCAGACAGGAGGAAAAGGCAGAGGCGCAGCTGGAGTGAAGCAAACCTAAAAACCAGACCTCAGTGGGACCAAGAGAATAGAGGCAGTTCCATCATGCAAATGGGAGATAAACATTTTAAATGCATCTTAATGTTATGGGAAGTGGGAATTTCTTGCTCTTTGAAAATTGTCGTGCCAAAGGGTAACATCCCTTTAATAGGTGTGTAAAAAGAAGACTTGACGATGTTGGCTGTCAAATTGGAAACAATTGTTTGGTACAATCAGAAAAAAAAATTCCCTCATGATCCTTTGAGGGTGATATTAATGGGTTTAAATTAATCAGAAGTAGCTGGTTAATGAGCTCTGAAAGTTATAACATTATATACTGGCTTTCCAAATGCATTCCCAAATCCACTGCGACTTCTTGGTTTTGCAGAGTGTTTGATAATGTGTTTGTCTTGTAATAAAAGAGAATAATAGGAATTTAAGTGTTTTGGGGGTGGTGGGGACATGAATGTAGTAGGAAAAAGAGAGGAGGGGATTGAAAGTTTAATGAGTAATGATCAATGTGGAAAAGAGCCTTAAAATGCTCTGCTCTCTGAATAAAATCCAGACACTTAAATTGACTCAGTAACTCCTGCATGCATCCCTGACTGTGTGCTTTGACCTCCTTAACGCACCTTGCCACTTCGTGTGCAATCCACATGTGTCTTCCTTCTGCTTGGAAAGCCTTTTCCCTTAGGTGCCTTTCTTCCAGGTTTCCTCAGAGACATTTCCTCCAGAAAACCTTCTGTGATTTCCAACCTCCACCCCCAATTCTGGGTGAAGTTTACTCTTCTATGTCTTGGTAATATTTTTCTTTTCCTTAATTAACAGTATGTGCCATACGTTTTAATTGCTTTCTCCTACTTTATAAGTTCCTCAAAAGACTATGTCTGTCTTGCCCATTTTTGAATCCCATAGTAGGTGCTTAATAATGGTTTGTTAAATGAAAAAATAAATGAATGTTTAGAAATGAAAATAGGAGAATCATGCGAGTAAAGAATAAAGAGGATGTGAAGTTAGCTGACTGCACACTCATCTCAAACCATTTAAGACATCTTCTCCTTAAATGTGGTCCATCTCCATTGTTTTCTGTCTCAGTGATCTGCATGAATATTTGTCCAGTTGCTGAAGCTGGAGTCTGGAAACTATTTTAGACACCTCCCTCGTTTCTACTTGCCACATCTTATACATCTCCAAGGTCTGATGCTTTTATATCCTAAGTGTCTCTTTACTCCAGCAACTTCTCTCCTTCTTTGCCACCATTATCTCCCTTCTGAAACCCAGAAATAATAAAACAGGTCTCCCTGGTTCTGCTCTTGCCCACCTCCAATCCATTCTGTCAAGTGCATACAGAATGATGTTTTGAAAATGTGCATCTCATCATGTTACTTTACCCTGTTTAAAAACCTTGGAATAAACACCAATATTATTGACATGACCCACAAGGTCTCAAATGCCTAGCCACACTGCCAACTCTTCTCCAGACTTATCTGCCTTTAGTGCCTTGCACCCTTCATTTGTTATGACCCAGACACATACCACCTCTCTTCGGGTCTTTAGATGTACTCTGACTCAGGGAATTTGCACATGCTGTTTCATTTCCTGGAATTCTCTTCCCATTCCTTCTCCCTTCACCTAATTTAGTCTTGTTGATCCTTCAGAAATCAGTTCCAAAGACTTTCCCAGGAATGCCTCCCCTGACACCCCCCCCCACCCCTCTCTCTGCCAATCCTTCCAAAGATCAGGTCTCTTTGCTGTATAGTCTTTTAGCAGCATGTTTCCTATACGACATTTTTCCGACTTGAAATTTTATAATTGAGTACAATATGATCAATGACTATCTCTCAAAGTAAACTGTGTTCTCTATGATGGAGTCGACCATGTCTGATTTTGCTCATAATCAAATCTCCAGTACCTACCACGATGCCTGACGTACAATAGGTGCTTAATACTTTCTATTAAATAATGGAGTAAAGATAAAAGTATTAATAAAAACAACACAGAATAATCTAATCATAAATCTTTGTACTTGGAGCTGCATTGTACAAAAAAATTAAAGTTGAGAATCGATTAAAAAAAATAGCCTAGCATTCTATTTTAACATATATCCATGTTTGAGAAACAGTAACAGCAAACCTATAAGTATACATCTCTATAAATCAGTGTACGATGCTATTTGGTTATTTTATACGGTATCACCATAGGTGGCACTACAGGTGGAAAAACTCTTACTATACGCCAGACACTATTTTAAGAACTTTTCTTTAATCCTCACAATCACGCTATAAGGGAGGAGGTATTATCATTGCCACTATTTTACAGATGTGGAAAGTAAGACACAAAGAGGTTAAGGAACCTGCTATAAGTAACACATCTAGGCTAGGCCACCTGCCTAAACAACTCTCATATATTTATTAGTGCTTTAACACTATAGGCATTTATTGGTTTTTCACACCACTGTCTAGTGTGGGTCACCCTGGGGGAAGGAGGCACAATGTCTCTGTTCCATACAGTCATTCGGGTACCTAGGCTCATTCTATCTAGTCGTTCTGTCATTCCCTAAATCCCTTACAGACCAGGGAAAAGAGAGATGTGTGAGTTTT